CGTGAAGAGCCAGTGTCGTACTGAGATGCGTTGTGACGCTCGAGAAGTGCAAGACCGGTTCGAAACGCAAGAGGGACCGTCTGCGTCTTTATTGGAAGCGCGCCGAGCTCCTGAAGTCCGTGAAGGGATGTGCTTCGGACATGCGCAAAACGCTGGATCGTTTAGATGTAGGTTATCGCGACATACATCCATAACGACCCTATCTGATCTTCCTTCAGCGAACGCTCAACCTTGCCACAGCTCTAACGCTCGACGGTATAGATGTCAAGATGGATGAACTGCATAGCATGCTACGGTCTTCTGGTCCACCCCCAGCTACTATGACAGCGACGAAGTATGTGGACGAGTTCTGAAGGAGATTGTACACGCTGACCGGGTACACTCTAGTGCTACATGGCGGTTTCGCGCTGCCAACGCCATCTTCTACGGCCGCGCCTCCGAGGTTGAGAGCGCCGTAGATCTGATCGTGAACAAGGGACCCGCGCGAGTGGCTATCTTGGGTCTCGGCGGTATCGGAAAGACCTCTATTGCCCTGGCAGTACTTCACGACCCGTCGGTGAAAGCACTCTATGGAGACCGGCGTTGTTTCGTGTCGTGCGAGGCAAGTACGACCGCGGATGCAGTCGTGCGTGGCCTAGCAGACGCAGTCAACTTGAATCTCGGGAAAGATCTGTCGCCTGAGACTGCCCGTCATTATCTTCTCCTCCGTCTGAATGCAGCCCCTGGGATCATTTGCCTTGATAACCTAGAAACGCCTCTGGATGTTGACAAGCCTGCGGTGGAGGAATTATTGAACGAGATCGCCGCACTTGAGTCAGTCGCTTTGTTGATCACAAGCTGTGACACGAGCGTCCGGTGCAGCTATCTTCTTGACGAATGCTGCCCATTTAGGTCAACAAGCGTATCATATCTTCATTAGTGACAGACTCACGGTAGTTCTCGAGCGTGATCGCTGCAGTTGCTGTTAGAGCGACGCGGTAATGAGCTTTATAGAGGGTCGTACTGCGATTGGAAGAAGGCCCATATCTGCGCCGCGTCAAGGTCGCCTACTTCGGATACGACCCGCAAGTGGGGATGGGAATAAGTGATCGTTGTCAGACAATGGAAGCGGATCAAATAGGAATAGGACGTACGCGGGCGTTATGTCCGCAGATAGCGTGCTTGTCCGACCCGTCAAAGACATAGCGGCTCCCCAACCGCTCGAAGACGGCTATGCGCTCCGGATGCGAGTCTAGCCCGACAGATCTCAAGCCCTGATGAACATGCTTGCACACAGCGTCGCCCAAAGCCTTGCATTCGAGCCAATCCTGCGCCGTGGCCGAATCCCTGCCAAGAACTCATGCATCGGCCGGCGCACCAGTCGAGGGAGAGGACGGCGCCAGAGTGGGTTGCTGTTATACGGCTGAGCTGGCCTTTGTGGCTCATCTTGAGGTCCCACCTTCAACTTGTATGAGCAATTTTCACAGTGGGTAGATGTGGAGTAGACTGGAGAACGTACCTGTAGATGCTGCCGTTGTCCAGCCCCACGATTGCCTGGATCGGTTTGGTGGTGCTAGGCGAGAACGCGGCAGCGCGCACGGGCTGGACGTGGCGGATGCGGATGAGCGACTTGTCGAAGGACCGGATGCCCCAGATGCGGAGGTCGCCGAAGTCGTGGGCAAGCATGTGTACGCGAGCAAGAAACGACACAGTTGAATGGCAACAGCAGAGTGAATGCGACAATTGGAAGAGCAACGTGGCATTGCGTATGGTGCAGACATGAGGACAATGGCAGCATGCGCGCCTGCTCGCAATGCACTGACCGCTAGTCGAGAGCGGG